GAGTTGGGGGTGGAGTAGGAATGCCGTGGATGAATTGTGTAGAATTTCCCTCGAGTTTTTTCTTTTTCAAGTCCGAAGGTTTTACCCCCTCTTTTATTTTTTCTTTTAGTTCTTGTTGAAAATCTTTATTTACCATTGCTGTTTAATTTCTTTTCTAATTGTTCGACTTTCTCCTGTAATCGTTCATTCTTTTTCTCCACTTCTTCAATCCGTTTTAATTCTTTACCATTTTTCTTTTCCAATTGTTCGGTTCTTTTGGTTAGTTCAATTTGTTGTTTTCTCCATTTCAGATTATAGCCTAATAGCATTGAAAATAAGAGAGTAAAGGCTCCGATTAGGAATAAACACAAGTGATATCAGTTTTGACAGTTTTCCATAGTTTTATTTCTTTTCTAAATATTGAGTTATTTGTTCTGGCTGTTCTTTTTGTTCCAACTTCTCAACTCCTTCCTTCACCTCCTCTATCTCTTTTATTTCCAATGCCTTCTCTTCTCGGTTTTCATAACTGGTTCCATAACTTAAAATATGTTCTCCTTGACAACCTCCTTTATTCTCAAAATCTTTAATACCTTTCATTCTTTCCCTCTTTTTGTCTCTTTCCAAAGCAATAAATTGAGCCTCATTGAGTTCTATTTCTGGATTATTTTGTCTTTCCTCTTTTTTGCTGGTTAAATGTCTAATGCCATAAACTCTTCGTAATTCGGAAAATTCCTCTTTATAATCTTGGTATAATCTATTTCTTTCCTCGGGGCCTTTGGAGGGAGAATAGACCACCATTTCTTTAATTTCATTAGTAATTGAAGGGTCGGCAATATAGAATAAATAATCCTGATTAGAAGCCTCAATTTTTTTGGTTTGAGTTTCTTCCGAGGGGTCATTTTCACATCTTAAAATACTTTTTTTTTGCTTTTTTCTCGGTCCCAGGTGATTTTCTCTCTAATATCTCATAAATCCTCTAAATAAATAGTTTCAGCATCCAATAAGTTAGAAGTTTTAGTAGAGTTATTAAAAAAGAGAATTATTTCTTCATCTTTTAAAAAGATTTCTTTTTTCTCGGGTTCCACAGGTTCTACATAATCTTTGGGTCTAGTCCGTAAAATCTTGCCCGATTTAAATTGGATTTCAATATTTTCATACTCTCCCAGGTCATTCTCCTCATACTTAAATGCTTTATTTTGTCTCAATCCCTTTTATTTCACTTAACTTTTTAATTTTCCACTTCTTTAAAAACTCCTTAACTTCGGCCTGTTGTTTTATTCTTTCCTCAATTCAAGGTTTCATTTTTTTAATAAAATCTTGGCTACTGGCAAAAGGTTGGTTTTGTCAGGACCATTCTTGTAAAATGC